GACACGGGTTATTCCCGCTGCCGACCCGTTCCTTAGACCGCCTGTAAAACCYGTAAATCTTTGACATTGACCGCGAGTCCCCCTTACTGCCTACGGGTTTGGTACGGGTAAAGTGGTCAAATCGGATATTCGCCTAAAAGTCCGTAGAGTTGGCTCGAATAATTCCCGCTGCCGACGCCGTTACGTGGGGGCAGGTAATCCCCGGGCGATTCCGAATGGTGACCGCGAGTCCCCCTTACTGCTGCTCAATGATTGTAAAACATTGTAGTCCCCCACGTCTTCCCTGTGCCTTCATTCAGGGCAACGCCATCATGTCTCCTCCCCGGGGCATGATGGGATTATTAACACAGGAATCCCGATCGCACGAAACAAGGGGTTCCCAAATACACTGATTCCCAAACCAGATTTTGGGACAACTTTTATCAACCTAAATATTTTCCATTATACTATGGTACTCTCTCGTTTCATATATGTCCAATACACACGAAATGAGACGGATCGCCATGAAGAATTGAAGATCCGTCTTGCCGGATGTCATTTCGTGAAAGAACACAGCAAGCCCATTTCAGCGATTCACAAGTAGAGTTGGTCTAGCATTGGGCTTCCTGTGTTATTGATGATCCGTCTAAGCGGAAGTCTGTTCGTTAATAGCGGAGCTCCCCGCTAGCGGAGCACCATTCTTAAGAAAAAATGGCAAACCATCGAGTTGATTTTTCATGGCTGGGCTGACGTCTCTTCCGTCCGTGTACACAACACAAGAATCCCGCTTGATGTCAAAGCAAAACTACTCGCGAATGCGGCTCTCAAATTCACAGAAAAAATAACTTTAGGACAAATTATAGACCAACAGCAAATGAAAACAACTTCCATGTAGTTAAAGATGGATCAAGAAGTGTTCTTCAAGAATTTAGGGGTTTTTTTTAGCAAACAATGCGTATATCATTATTTTTTATAACAAGCATTTTTTACGACGAATCGACAAATCAAAGACTTTCTCTCAAAACTCTTAATATTCCTATAGATAGGCTTGATTTATTTTAATGCTGGACGAAAAATAACATGAAGAGCATATTAGAACAAATATTAGTATATTATTCTGCATTAATCATTGTCATTAATGAGATATGGCTGCGCACTCCGACCGGAAACGAATCGAGCAAAAAGTGCTAAGGATGTGCCAGGATCAACCCGGCTCAAACAGGGTGGGTGGGTGGGTGCCACACATAGTTCGGCTATCTTGTTCAACCACGACAAAGTACGCGTCCTTTACTTAGATATCTGTTCCCAACCAATGAGCAACCCCTTCAATCCCCCAGGGACCGGAAAGTACGTGGGAATGCTGTTAATTATAATATAATTGCGGCAGAATATTAATATCCAATGACTTTGAATAGTCATGACCKTTGACGATCTGTCTCACCGGATGTCATTTCGTCAATATGCAGCTCACGATATTCTCATACTCTCCTTCTATTATGTCTCGTTCTATAAATCAAATACACAATATACATATGGTTCGTTATTATGACATGCCTCGTTCTATATAAATTCAAATACAGACTGATCGATCGTATATTACATGCCTCGTTCTTCAAGGCTTTGATACAACTATAGTTATTATGTAATATTGTACAAACCAATAGCTACAATAGATTTTTGATTACTTTTGGCTGGCTCGTGTAGACATGTATTGTTGTAAATTTTTGTTGTGTTTTTTGTTGTAAATGTCTTGTAAGTACTAAATAAAATTGAAGATGTCAATTCAATTTCAAATTTCCATTCTTTATTGGACATAATCTTAACATGGCCTGATTAGCTCAGTATGTAGAGCATCAGACTTTTAATCTGAGGGTCAAGGGTTCGAGTCGCCCTTATCGGGCGTTTCACTTTTTACTTTTGTAATTTTTTTWWATTCCAATTTCATTTCAATTCCAGTTTTCCATCCCTTCGTGTATTTCAACTCAACAGGGACTGGTTAGCTCAGTCGGTAGAGCATTAGACCCTCGATCTCAGGG